AGTTCTCAGCCACCACACATTCTTCAGTCCACTATAGATATTTTTGGATCGGATTCGGGAACACTGCCTCCAGCCTCCATCTATAGCGGGTAAGCTTAATTTGTTTTCTTTCAAGAATTATGCAATATTCTAAATAGTTTTATCTGTGGGTACAGATATTTTTGCATGTTTAGATTATTGCTGAATTCAACTCTTGTAATTTACTTGCTTGTATAATTTTAATACGTCCAAGCCTTTGAAATATTGATCTAAAATACATGTAAGAAGTAGGTGACACTGTAAACAAATAAATCACTTCTTAATTTTAGGATATAATATTTAAAAGTACCCCCACATTCTTCAGTCCACCATAGATATTTTTGGATCGGGAACACTGCCTCCATCTATAGCGGGTAAGCCTAATTTGTTTTAGTACTTATTTTCTTGCAAGAATTATGCGATGTTCTGATCAGTTTTATCCGTGGGAACAGATATTTTTATTCAACTCTTGTAATTTACTTCCTTCTATAATTTTAATGCGTCCAAGCCTTTGAAATATTGATCTAAAATACATGTAAGAAGTAGGCAAATTTATTTGCTTCTTAATTTTTTGATATAATTTTTAACTTTGAAAATTTGAAAACTTTGGATCTTCAGGAAGATCCCTTTGTCTTTCTTAGGAATATCTTCAAAATTGTACAAATAAAAATTACCAACTAAAAGTCCTTGGTCCAAAAGCTTTTGTATTGTTTACTTACATAAATAAACTGGTCGATGAGAAACAGATTCAAAAATGGAACAAATAGGTGGTGGTGATGCAAGGTGGTCTCTGAAGGGCATGTCTGCCCTTGTCACGGGCGGTACTCGAGGCATAGGGTATGTGACTTAAATTAAGTCTCGTTTTACTATACTCCTCAACGTACTAATACTAGTATCGCTAAGCTTAAAAGGTGCTCATCTGACTCGATATTTTGTAGTCATGCCATCGTAGAAGAATTTGCACGTTTCGGAGCTGTCGTGTATACATGTTCTCGTAATCAAAAAGAGTTAGATGAATGTTTAGAAGAATGGAAGCGCAAGGGCTTTCGAGTAGCAGGTTCCGTGTGTGACTTATCAGTACGAGCCCAACGAGATAAGCTGATAGAGAATGTTACCATTTATTTCGATGGGAAGATCAATATCTTGGTTAGTTTATCCTTTTTTTTATCGTATGATTGTGTTCTTCGGTGCAAGGTTTCTGAAACGAGTACTTCGATTTCTAAGGTGAACAATGCTGGGACAGGTCGACTTAAGGAAGCCACAGAATTNNNNTCGACTTAAGGAAGCCACAGAATTCACAGCTGAAGATTACTCACTGATAATGGGTACAAATTTTGAGGCTTCTTATCATTTGTGTCAACTTGCACACCCATTTCTCAAGGCATCAGGTTGTGGAAGCATTGTGTTTATTTCTTCTGTGGGTGGACTTATGGCGGTTCCTTTTGTCTCTTTGTATGCAGCATCTAAAGGTAGCAGCAAGCAATCGTAGTATGAGTCAAAATTTCACCACTGCTAAGTGATTTTAGTGTTCATCTTTTGTGTAGGAGCAATAAATCAGGTAACAAAGAACTTGGCATGCGAATGGGCAAAGGATAACATCCGTGTTAATGCAGTCGCGCCATGGATAATCGAAACATCCTTGATCAAAGCCTTAGCCGTAAATGCATATATATTGTGTACATTAGCATCACATTTTGCCATTTCTGTTTTATGATCTCAATAGTTCGGTTTATTGCAGCCAAGACCTGATCAGAAGCAAATTATGGAAGGCTTAATCCCTCGAACTCCTCTTGGCCGCCCTGGACAGCCTAGTGAAGTTTCTTCCTTGGTGGCATTCCTATGTTTCCCTGCCGCTGCTTATATTACTGGACAAGTTATCTATGTAGATGGTGGAGTCACAGTGAATGCTTTTCCATAACAATGTTGTATAATTTAACCAACTTTTAGCATATGATTATGTTTCTAGTTTTCCTGTCAAAAATAAAATGGCTAAAAATGTTACATTGGGTCCATGAT